GCTTTTCAAGTGTATAAGTGTAAACCCAAATCCTTTACCGAAATCGTCGAAAAATATGAGATAGTTTGAAAATTGTAATTTTTCTAAAAAGATCCTTTCCACAATAAATACGATGTTTCATTCTCTTTCCAGATAGCAAGTGTGAAATACCTCTCTATGCCCACATATCAATATGTGTAAAAAGTCATGAATGACCTGATACCATACAGTATGAGGAAAATGCATCTCTATGACTGTATGTTATGTGTGTCTGCCAATGCCATGTATCTCAGAGATGAATCATGTACTCACACTCTCAGAGTACTAAATCTCATTGTCTCACGCTTTCTGCTCATTATGCCCAATCACTCAATACCGTATATGGCCAATCCGGCCCAGGGAAGATCCATCCCGAAATATATACATCAACTGACCAACAGACCATGGAGAAGATCCATCTCCAGGTATATAATGCTTCGGACAAGATCTATGTCCAGGGAAGATCCATCCCTTAATATAATCAACCGCGCTAGTGTACAGACTCCGGAGGGGCTTCTACAGCCCAAGCGCTATCATAAAATCAGTATAACCACTGCAGGTGTGCAGCCCGATCCCATAAGTGTCACTCATAATCAGGCTCTCAGCCCCACTCAATCATCAATCTCTCCAGTCTCACTCACAGGCTCACAATGTTATGTAACTAGCCGAAAAACAAAGATATGATGTATCAGTGAATAACAACTGAGACTGAAATATGATATGAATGCATGAATATGACTGAGTACGAAATATCAATGAAATCAATGAGATACAGTAAGAAACGACCACTATGGGTCCCAACAATATCAGCAAAAATCCTAAACATGATATCTAGCATGATTGACAGCTCAATTACTTTATCACATGGTGAAAACAAATATATCAACAAAATAGGACCACTATATAGTGCCATGGAAACAACGGAGTCATAATTTCCAGGGTGCACGCCCACACGCTCGTCACCTAGCATGTGTGTCACCTCAATACCAATCGCACAACACGTAATTTGGGGTTTCATACCCTCAGCACTAAGTTTAGAAGAGTTACTTACCTCGAACAAGCCAATTCCAATATTGAGCAAGCCAAGCGATGCTCCAAAAATGCCATCACGTGTGTAGCAACCTCCGAAAGAATCAAACTAGCCAAAAGCAACTCAAATACATCAAATAAAGCCCAAGGAAAAAATTCTAAATGATAAAGATCGAATCCTTAATCAAAACCCAAAATCGACCAAAAGTCATAGCCGGGCCCGCGCCTCGGAACCCGACAACGAGAAGCAGTGACGAGCGGTCGACAACTAGACTTACTAGTGGTCCAATAAAATAATATAATAGATTATAAACAGGTATGAAACACAACAGTAACCATGAGATAAAAACTGTAACTCACATTTCCCCAACTTTTCTTTTGACAATATAAACCTCTCGAATGTCATATGCTATCTCAACAGATCGGAAATATCAAAATGTAATTTCAAATGGATAAGGAATACCATACATATTCCAGGTCTCAATAAAAGGGGAATCTCACGAATATTCGGACTCCTAGCGGTATTATGCATGATTATGCCGAGGTCGTACGGCCCGATCCAGAGTGGTGTGTACACTGCCGAAGGTCGACCGGAGCGAACAAGAGATGCATCTCAATACACTGCCGAGGCGTTCGGCCTGATCCACAAGAAAGGAAGAAGCTTATCGAATTACGAGTCACGTGCTCACAACACATGTATAGGAGCATAAGGTGAATATAACTATTACCGTTTATCAAATATCTTTCCAAACAACTCAAGGTGATACAGTTCGGCCTAATATATTCTTAAATCAATTTCAATTATGTATTCAACTAATTAAACTAGAAAATTCAGTTTAAATAATTCAGATATTACATGATAGAGTCCTAGGTCTACCCAGACATAAACATGCTTTAGCTACGTACGACTCTTGTCACCTCGTGCGTACGTAGCACCCACAACTAGTAGCGCATAACAATGTTAATACCTACGGGGTAATTTCCCCCTCACAAGGTTAGACAGGAGACTTACCTCACTCCGAAGTTCCAATGGACGGCTCCAATGCCTCTCTAACACCTCAACCAACGCCCATCGATCCGAAACTAGTCAAACAACGTGAAAATCAATCAAAATATACCACAACACTCATATTTAATTAATTTATAACAATTCCCAACTCCGCTTGAAAAGTCAACCCTCAGGCTCACGTGCCCGGATTTCAAAAATTCTTGAAGATAATCATTACCCACAACACCACAAACTCAAATATATAATTTATTCCTAATTCCATGTCCAATTTCTTGGTCAAAATCCAAAAATACGAAATTCTAGATTTTCTACCAAAATCCCACAATTTCCATAACTTTTCATGTTTTAAATCCACATATAATCCACATATTTCATTCAAAATGTGTAGAAATATCTTACCTCAAGATGAATGATGAAACTGGCTCCTCCAAATCGCCCAAAAAAATCGCCCAAGCAAGAGAGAAATTAGTTGAAAATGAGGAAATCCCGACCTTGCAAGAATCTGCCCAGGCCCCTTCTTTGCGAACGCGGCAAGACCCTCGCGTTCGTGAAGCACAACCAGCTTCAGCTTCCAAATCCTTCTTCGTGGTCGCGAAGACAGGCTCGTGAAGGCGATTCCCTACCCGGCCTAACTATCGCGAACGCGGAACCATCCTCGCGAACGCGTAGGCCAAGACTCCCAGGCCCAATTTTTCTTACGCGAACACGACCAGGCCATCACGAACGTTGAGCACAACTGCCCAAACCTTCACGAACGCGACTGCCTTATCAAGAATGCGTTGAACAAAAGGCCCCAGTCCAAATCCTTCTTCCCTAATGCGTCTCTCCATCCGCGTTCGCGAAGCACAAAACCAGCAATAGCAAATTATCTAAACTTGGTCTGAAACCATCCCGAAACACACCCGAGGCCCTTGGGGGCCCGTCCAATCATACAAACCAGTCCCAAAACATAACACGAACCTACTCGAGGCCTCAAATCACACCACACACCATCCAAACTATGAATCGATGATCAAAACCCTTCTTTATACTTTCAAACTTCGCCAAACGCGTCCGAATTACACGTAAACATCCCGGAATGATGCCAAAATTTACGTGCAAGTCACAAATCATGATACGAACCTAATCCAAGGCTCGTAACCCCAAACGGACATCGATAACACCAAATTCCACTTCAAACCAAACTTAGGAAACTCTAAAACCTTTAAAATGCCAACTTTCCACAATAAGCGCCTAAATGTTCCCGGACCACCCGATACGCAACCTGAATACACGCCCAAGTTCAAAATCATCATACGAACCTATTGGAACCTTCAAGACTTGATTCTGAGGTTGTTTACTTAAAAGTCAAATCATAGTCAACTCTTTCAGTTTAAAACTTCCGAATTAAGAATTTTCCATCAGAATCAACTCCGAACTTTCCAAAATTCAATTTCGACCATGCGTATAACTCATAAAATATGAAGTAAAGCTACTCAAGGCCTCAAACCGCCAAACGACGCGCTAGAGCTCAAAACGCCGGTCGGGTCGTTACACTCACTCTCAGAAATCGAATTAATATGCCACAGAAGACGTACCATAGGCTTTCCCATAGTGTAGTACTCTACTAATTTGTGCTCATTCAGTCAAGGATCAAGTAGGAATTTATTTGGTTGTAATGTAGACTGCGGGACGGGTAGGATACATTTGAATATAGTGGCTACACCTCCCTAAGCACTTAAATACATACAAATTTATAACTTAAACTCCACACTTATTTTGAACCAAACCCCAACCTTTACACATAATAGCATCAAGCTCCCAATATCTTTAAGCACAAACAAGATGAGAACTACCACTAGTATGGAATCCATTTTTTTCTTTTCTAAGTTCTGATTATTATTTTTCAAGCAAACTCACTTTTTTTCCTTTTATTTCCCTCCAAGTGTCTCTCACAATTTTTTTCAAACAATGCATATTTCTCCTTTTTTTAGTAGTTCCACTCAAAAACCCGACCATACCTCACTTACCTTTTAAAAGCTCATAACAAAATCAAGTTCTCAAGAGAGGCAGAAGGTTCAAATAGATAGTCAATTTAAACAAAGTGGATCAGGCTTACAGTGTGGTTGACAAAGAAGTAGGATTACATGCTCAAATGGCTAACTAATACACAACAATCATGCGAGTCATAAACATATAATTGACTCAACAAAGAAATGCCTATATCTCTTCCTAGACTGAAAATGACTACTATTTTGCTTTGCAAACACACAGGGAAAGTTCTAGACATCAACTGACATGCATATAATATCCATAAAAGCCTCACTCATGCATTGGCACATAACTCACTTAGGATCGGATCTATCCCGACTCTCCAGTCAAAGTAGTAGGCAGGTCAAAATCAAACAATTTAAGGCACTACAATACATGAGTCAAGAACTGAGCCTAGGCGTCATAATTAATACACTCACTATTCTTAAGGCACAGCAAAGTTAAGAGCAGTTATCTCCATTTAACACTATAGAAAAGACTGTCATATTCCTAATAAAAAAACTAACTACTCCCAGTTCAAGAAAAACCCTTGGAAAAGAACCGCGACACAAATAAAAATCAAGGGAGAATTGTTACACTACCTAGGAAAAACAAAATAATTTTACTTCGACTTTGATCCCTCAAGAAGACAGTCGAGGAAATCCATCGTCCGTAAAAGTAAAAAAAAGTCAATCAAAAGAAACAAAAACAAACAGATATTTACTTATTTACATCCCCTACCCCACACTTCAAACTGTGGCATGTCCCCATGACACACAAATAAAAAGCAAGAGGTAAAGGAAACTCCCCAGATTCATTTAGCCGGGGGTCTGAATCGAAGTCGGGATCTCCTTTGCACGCCCGACCCAATGCACACATCCATGCTGGGAGCTTCTTTTCAGCCTTCTTTGGGTACACCCCACACTTATCACTTTTACTCTCTCCAAGTTTCTCCATTGGGGCCCCCCTTAATCGTTCCATCTTGAAGATCACCCTTTCCTCCCCCACTCTGAGCATGAGCTTCCTTTTCCTGAATGTCTAAAATTGCTATGCCAGTATCCAAGAAGGGTTTTCCTAAAATGATAGGGACCTCCCTATTCTCCTCCATGTTCACCACAATGAAGTCCACAGGGAACACAAATTTGTCCACCCGAACTAGCACATCTTCCACTATTACTTCAAGTATGATTGTGGTCTGATCCGCTAGCTGCAAGGACATGGGTATCGATATGGTTTCTCCAATCTCTCCCTCTAATTTCCTGAAAATAGACAAAGACATAAGATTAATAGAATCACATAAATCACTCAAAGAATTTTCAAACTTAGTACTTACTAAATAGCAAAGTATAGTAAAACTCTCTGGATTTCCACACTTTTGAGGGAGTTTATTTTGCATAATGGCACTACAATACTTTGTGAGCTTGACAACCGATGTCTTTTCCACTTCCCGCTCTTTGGACAATATCTCCTTCAAAAATTTAACATAAACCGGCATCTGTGATAGCACCTCGGTGAAAGGTATATTCACATGCACCTGCTTGAGCACTTCTAGAAAGCGCCTGAATTGTTTGTTCAGCTTATCCCTTCTCTGCTTCTGCTGGAAAGGTAGAGCTGGCATATATTTACTTTATTTTGTCTCCTCATTTATTACATTCTCATCTTTCTTCTTCTTCTGAGCTCTAGTCTTCCCCTTCTTCCTCGAACCATCATCCAACATCCCTGCACCTTCTTGAATGTTGTTATTTTTCTGCTCCTCCACAATCTCCACATGTCTTTCAATCAGCTCATCCTTTTGTTTTGCCCTGGGATCCTGCAATACGTACCCACTCCTCAAAGACACTGCATTTATTGTCTCTTTTGGATTTCTTTCAATATCTACAGGGAGAGTTCCTGGAACCCTCTCAGACAATAGATTATCTAGTTGCCCCACCTGTCTTTCCAAGTTTTTCAAGGCCATGCCCAGTTCTCTAATAGTTGCGCCATGGGTATCAAGACTCTCATCTATATTAATAATACAGGTCTTCATCAGATCTTTCATGTTAGACTGATTAGATTAATGAGGATGATATTGATGCCTCTGCTGATTTTGAAAACCTGTAGCTCCTTACCCTGGGGTATGGAGTTATTTTGCTGCCATGCGTTTGCACTACCACCTGGTGATCTCCAAGACAAACCTAGGTGCCTCTGCCCCTTGGAGTTAAAATTGTTGCCACTTTGGTAGTTGCCTCTTTCAAAGCTCCCCATAGCATTTACTACTTCAGCTGAAGCTTGACACTCGTGTGTAGGGTGTCCCATTCTACAAAAGTCACATGCTTCTTACAGCTTACTCTGTACCTTGGCCAATGTTAACTTTCTTATCTCTCTAGCAATGGTGTCTAGCTGGGCTTGCATTGATGTCTTAAAGTCTACCTGTTGCACTCCAGCTGATTTTCTTCTATGGTTCTCATCTGCATGCCATTGATTTGCATCATCTAATAATTCATTTAGAATTGCAACAATCTCTTCAGGAGTTTTCTTCATAAAAGGACCTCCAACTGCGTTGTTTAGCGTCCTCCTGCCAGAGGGTGTCAGACCATCCCAGAAATCTTGGAGTTGCATCCACACGCCTACTATATGATAATGACATATTCTCATAATATCCTTAGATCTTTCCCATTCTTCAAACATTGTTTCTGTCTCTTTTTGCTCGTTGTGGATCTCTCTTCGAATTTTCCCTATTTTTGCAGCTGAAAAATATTTTCAAGGAACCTCTTTGTCATGACTTCCCTAGTTTGAATTGACCTAGTCGGCAAACTCCACAACCAGTGCTTAGCATATTTCCTCAGTGAAAAGGGAAATGTTCTTAAGTAGATAGCATCTTTCGGTACTCCGTTGTGCTGGAGGGCATTCATAATCTCATCAAAATCCATCAAATATGTATTGGATCTTCATTGGGTTTGCCACAGAAGACACAATTGTTCTGAATGGTCTAAAGTAGCCCTTACCTGATCTCAAAATTATTAGTTGCGATTAGAGGGGGTCGCACACTAGATACTCCTTGGTTGTAGACTGGCCTGGCGTAGTCTCCCAGTGATCGTCCAGGCCTGGGCAGATTATTTTCAAATTTGTCCTCAACCAGAGGTTGGTTCAGGTTGAATCTTCGTCCTCTATTCCCGTCAACCATTTCATCAGCTCTGAGAGCTACTTCAGCAATTGCTAATGTGGCTGCTTCCTGTTAGGCTGCTTTCCGTGCAGCAAAATCAACTATCTTCTCACTGTTCTTAGCCATATTCTCTTGGGTTGAGGATTTCCCCAAGAATTTCCCCGTGAGTCATTCTCTTTTTTCAGTTGTCGCAAGTATTTTTCCAAATCCGGTTTGTAGGGTATTGCTTTTTTTTGAAGAAAATCGAGTCATACACCAACGAACTTAACATGTTGCCAGCACACCAAAGAAAGAACCGTGAAGAATAAAATAAAGTTGATTCCTGAATTAGCACCAAAAACTACTTTGAACACTATTGATTGCCAATCCCCAGCAACGGCGCCAACATTTGATGAGCACAAAACACAACACGAAATTAATGTTCGCCAGCCAAAGATAGTATAGTTAGATTATCGCATCCACGTGGATTGAATTTAAACAATGCTCTAGTAATTTCTGGGTTAACTGCTATTCAGGATGATTAACACTTTGGTTGGGATGATTAATAACCAAAATTAACTACAAAAACTAAAGCAATTAACAATTGATCACAGAAAGACACGAGTTGAGCAACACCAAAATATCAATGGGAGAAATAAGTGTCGTGACATGATAGGTGTAAGTTAGCTACTTGGGATCTAACTCTAATTCAATTAACTCTAATATTCTAATGATTCTCACAAATTCACTCGATGATTAGTTCAAACGTGTAGTCAAGACTGCTCTCTAGAGTAAATCTTAACTCTACGAGGTGAACTAATATAAGCATGTAAAAATATGCAAGCATGCGTTAGTGGATTAGTCTTCAAGAAAACTTCTCTCGAATGTTCTCCTAACATGATTTAATCAACAATTAACCAAGGTCTTTCAATTACTTAAGAATCACTGAATTAAACCAAACAAAATAATGCAAAGATAATCACCAAAATATTCCTCTTTCGATTAAATAAACTAGTGAATAAAGCTCCATAAACGAATTCAAGCAAGGAACTGGAGTGAAAATCCACAAATATCAATCAAAACACCATATCTGTCAAGCCCTAAGGGAAACTACTCCATATTCATGGAGAAATTCATCACAAATAAAGTTGAATAATAAGAAAACATGAATTCAATCCAAACTTGGGTGTTGAATTGAGGAAAGAATGATGAATCCTTGTGCATTTAGTCTCCAATGCTCTTTCAATCTTTCGTAGGTCAAAAGTCCTCTAAAAATCGTGTTTTTGATGTATTTATAACATGTAAGAACGATCCCGGACGAAACAATCCTTTGCCAAGCCGAAGTAGGAGAAATACTCTATAAAATTTGCACATGTGCAGTGCATGGCGTGCCACCCCACGCGGTGCACCTGTGGAGAAGTTCAGAGAGTTGATTTTTACACTCTGCAGGAAATTTGCACTAGCCTCGCTCCCTGCGGCGCGGTAGTGCATTTCTTTCAGAGTAATATTTTTTTCTCACTTTTTGACATTCAGACTTGATCCTCAACCCCCGAACATGATCCCGGCTTAATTTCTTGGGCTTCTACTCAAAATTCAAAGCTCCAAATCATCCATTTTAGCTCCAAACTTGGTTCTCCACTCGAAATCACATCATACACAGCATAACACACGTAATAAGTATAAAGTGCCAACAGATAGGCTCAAATACAATCAAAGTGTAGTAATTAGAGTATAACATATTTTAACGACCAGATCGATAATTTTGAGCTCTAGCACGGCGTTTGATAGTTTGAGCCCATGAATAGGTTCACTTCAGGTATGATGACTTGTACGTGTGGTCGGAATTAAATTTCGAAAAGTTCGGAGTTGATTGGAAAGAAAATTCTAATTTCACAAGCTTTAAGTTGGAGGAATTGACTAAGGTTTGACATTTGAGTAAACGACCTCGTAATCAGGATTTGAAGGTTCCAACAGGTTCGTATGATGATTTTTGGACTTGGGCGTATGTCCAGATCGGGTTTTGGATGACCCGGGAGCGTTTCGGCACCTACTGTGGAAAGTTGGCAATTTCGAAGAATTTCATAAATTTAGGGTTGAAGTGAATTTCAATATTATCGATGTCCGTTGGGGATTCCGAGACTGGGAATAGATCCGTACGGTGATTTTGGTATAGGGGGCCCGTCCGGATGTGGATTTGGAGGTCCGTAGGTCATTTCGGGGTCATTTGACAAAAGTTATAAATTTAAAGGTTTTTTAGAAGTTTGACCGGGAGTGGACTCTTTGATATCAGTGTCGGATTCCGATTCCGGAAGTTGGAGTAGGTCCGTAATGTTGAAGGTGACTTTTGTGCAAAATTTGAGGTCAATCGGACGTGATTTGATAGGTTTCGGCATCGAATGTAGAAGTTTGAAGTTCTAAAGTTCATTAAGCTTTAATTGGGTTGCGATTCGTATTTTGATGTTGTTTGATGTGATTTGAGGCCTTGACCAGGTCCGTGTTATGTTATGGGACTTCCTTGTGTGATTGGACGGGGTCAAGTGGCCTCGGGTGTGTTTCGGGGCGGTTTCGGATCAATTTGAGTTGTTTTGCAATAGCTGATGCTGGTGCCTGGTGTTGTCCTTCACGAACGCGAAGGGTCTCACGCATTCGCGAAGAAGAAATGCGGGCTGAGGATTTTTATTCTATGCGAATGCGACACGGGGTTCGCGAACGCGAAAGAGGCCTGGAGCTAGCTTACGCGAATGCGATGCAGTGGTCGCGAACGCGAAGAAGGAAGGGGAGCTGGGGACCTGGAGCCATTTAGCCTTCGCGAATGCGGAGCTCCAACCGTGAAGGGGAAGCAGTAGAGTCTGAAGCCTTGGCAAACGCGAGGCTTTGATCGCGAACGCGAAGAAGGACGGCAGTGCTGGGCAGTGTCATTATAAAGACGGGATTTGGCCCATTTTCCTTCATATTTCATTTTGGTTGGGCTTATTTTTGGAGCTTTTGAAGAGGATATTTCATCATCTATTATGAGGTAAGTGATTTCTACTAGTTGTGAGTCAAATACAAGGTTTATATATGGATCTAGACATGAAAATTTGTAGAAATTTGAGATTTTGAAGAAAAACCTAGAAATTTGTGTTTTTGGATTTTGACCACAATATTGGACATGGAATTTGGAATAAATTATATATTTGAGTTCGTGGTGTTATGGGTAAAGTTTATCTTGGAAAAATTTCAGAATCCGGGCACGTGGCCCGAGGGTGATTTTTATCGACCCCTCGAGCAGAGTTGGGAATTGTTATGAATTGAATTATAATAAGTATTAGAGTATGTATTTATGGATTTGCACATTTATTGACTAGTTTTGGAGCGATGGGCATCAATTGAGTTGTTGGAAAGGTGTTGGAGCCGTTTATGGAACTTTGGAGCGATGTAAGTCTCTTTTCTAACCTTGTAAGAGGGAATTAACCCCATAGGTGAAGTGATTTAATATGTGCTTCTATTTGTGGGGGCTACGTATGCACGAGGTGACGAGAGTACGTGCGTAGCTACTATTATGCTTATGTCCGGGTAGTCTAGGACCCAAATCATGATATACTTGCGATGTTTGCAACCTACTTGTTAATTTAATTGCTTAAATCATATCGAAACTTGATAAATGAACTTTAAAAGGTTAAACTTCATTTTCTTGACCGTTAATGAGAATCGTTATTTCCTTGAATAATTGCCCTTAATAAATCTTGAATTGGTTGTTTTACATGTATTTTCTCTTTTGTGGAGCGGGCCGAACGCCTCGGTAGCAGATAGATGCATCTATGGTTCGTGTCGTTCGACCCTCGGCAGTGCACAGTTTAAATATTTATGTTGGATCGGGTCGTATGACCTCGGCATGATTTTTGCATGATTGAATTGGTTGTTTTCGAATTTATAATAATTGATTTTGCTTCGTTGGCCTGAGATACAAAATGGTAAATGATGAAAAATAAATTTGAAAATTTCTTATTAACAAAAGAATTATTTATTTACCTCATGATATTGAGCTTACAGTCGTTCTATACAATCCATGCTTAATTATATCATTGGTATCTTATTTGTAGCCCATAGTAAGTGTCGGAGTCGACCCCTCACTACTACTTCTTCGAGGTTAGACTGGATACTTACTAGGTACGCGTTGATTTACGTACATACT